GAAGCGCAGTATGGACCTGACCGGCAGCACTTGTAAATTGCGGACCTCACTGCAGATCCTTCTGCAGCCAACACATCACCAAGAATCTGGCAAGTATACACGTGAGGAATCGCCTCATCGACCTCTGCCAGGCAAAGTTTAATTGACGGCAGCTCCAGCAGTCATACTGAGATATACTCCTAGCATTCTGGCAGCGATTCTCCGAGCCAGCTGCCTCATGTGCGAGACCTAAGCAAAGCCCGCATAGGCTACCTGCAGTTCACGCAACGCATCCTGAGAGAAGGTCAACCCCTGGCAAAATATTGTGAATACACATTCCGGGACAGCACAAGCTCGCATGTATTGCAGTCTGCTAGCACTTTCAAACCTGACTCGCGACGCCCTCTGAACTTGTCCACCGAGGCACGTATGGAAACAGGTGTTGTGCAGTTGACAAACCTAGCTGCCTACAAGGCTGAGCCGAAGGGCCTCGACAGCGGCCCCTTGGGCCAGCGCTGGGACGGACGAGCGCCAAAACATGCCAAAAGTGCCATGAAACACCATGCCATGCACCCATGTCCCTGCCAACATAAGCTTGAAATCCTCCTTCGGATGCTGCCAGATTCGTTGTAGCTACCTCTCTTGAACGTACGTCTAGTTATAGTTACATTCATCCTTCCTGGACAATACATCCCGAAGTCCTGAAGGCCCCAGCCGTTCCTTCCATGCCTGGAGATCCAAGGTAGGGACGAGCTGCCTCTGTCCCCCATGGTCATCCTGAAGGGAATGTAGCTTCATGCAGTTCAACCAACGGCTTAACGTGTCTTAACGTAGCTTAACGTGGCTTAACGTAATTGGGCATTTTTGGGAGCTTGGACGTCTGATAAAAGGACGGAACTGAGCGACAAAACTTGTCCCACAGGTTGAGAAGGAAAGGATGGCTGTAGGATGGCTGTAGATGTTTGGCTGCGGATGGCTCTGCCAACACTGCCTCGCCCTCGTCGCTGGTGAAGCCATCCTTGAGGGACTTCATGCCGTTCCCATTGCCTTGCTGCTGACTTCTGCGCGAAGAACTGTATTTGTTTGGCATATGGCAGATTGGTGTCGTACTCCAACACAGACAGAAGCGATCTGAGTTAGTTTCTAAGGCAGCCGACTGGGTGCATGCGAGTCCTGCAACATTCACAAGAAGCTGACTGATGCCCACGTGCTTTCCATGTCTGAAGATGGCTCGGGACATTACCTTCCAAGACCAAGGTTGATAGGAGAAGTTATCGCACCGTTCGCACCTCAAGCTCCTGGCGGAGGTCTGCCAATTTTGACCTGGCAGCAGCTTGGAGTTCGGCGACCCTCGGTGGCCCCCTAAAGCCCTATAAGGTGCACTGGGTGGCGGACGCCAACTCGTGCAGACTCGTCCTCCAGCTCCCGCAAAGCTCCTTCAAATTCAGCAGGACAACAGGACCAAACGTTGCAATTACTGCATGCGCGCCATTTTCCAAAATATCAAGTGGAAGCAAAAAGCACCTGGTCGAGAGCTGCCAGGGACCGCCGCGCCATCTCTGCCCAGTCCCGAGTCAGGAAAGCGATGCCGGTTGCAGTGTCTGCTTGATCTACAAGTTGGGCTGCCAGCTGGCCACTGAGCACGGCCCAGCGACGCGCGCCACCTAGGAGGTGGTTCCACCAAATGCTACCCGCAATCATGGAGTAGAGGAAGAGGGCGATCCACAACGAGCTGATCGATGCGAAGGGAAGCGTTGGAGCACCAGCAAACTGCAGCAGTGGCAACAAAAGCCCGAAGCCGGTGAGACTCATGGTACACCATGAGGCCCAACGTACTGCATCAATAGAAGTTGCAATAGGGATCAGCAAGATGGCCAAGCCTGCATAGCCCATCCAAGGCTTCCAAAACTGTGTGTGGCCCATGTGGACTTGCATCCTAGAGCTCCAAGGGCTCCAAGGGCTCCAAGAGCTCCAACGTGCACGCCGCATCTCTGCCAAGGCGAGGAGACGCTTGGCCTGCTCGCTTTGGGACCAGCTAAGGAGCTCTGCGACTCGTACTGACGGAGGCGGCTCTCGAGGGTTCTGAAGCACGGCCTCCCGACGATACACCCACATCTTCTCCTGAGCCACGTCAGCCACATTGCCGAGCGTTCGCCGCAAGTCCTGCGGAGAAGCTGAGAAGCCAGCGAACGTCTCAGTCAAACACACGAGACACGAAGAGAGGAAGAAAAGGTCTTTCTTTTGCCAAGCTTCGGTCTGCTGTGGTGGCAAAAGACGATGCGCTCTAAGCAAGGCGCTGGCCGCGGCCGTTGCATCCCCTGCCGCCAAGGCTGCAACCCGGTCCTCAAAAGAATCATAGAACATCGTATATATGCTGCGACGGGGCTCAGACTAAGCTCTATCTCGAGTACAGTACCCACTAAGACGCTGCTTTGATACATGATTAGGGTTGCACTGTGCCCAAATAATTGAGTGAGCACAAAGGAAGCTAAAACAAGATATGGTGCCACATCAAAAAGCATGGCAAGAGTCCAAAGTCAACACATACGACCTTCCCCTGGAACCACTGAGCAGCCTGGCCAGGCCCAGTATTAGTGCATCTCTGGCGAGACCATTCAATGGCTTAGGCCTTGCGGTCGCCCTCAAGTGCAGATTCGGAGGCGCATTTCTGTGTTTCAGAGCATGTTCGATTTCCTTGCTGTTGACTGCCAGACCAGCGAACATGGGCGGCTGTAGTGGACCTGGAACAAGCCGACGCAGAATCATGCCCAGAGCTTCAAATTCAGATGTCGTTCCCGTCTGTGAATACGAACGCTTCCAGGACCACTGTGGCCGACCTCTCAGCATGTTTCTTATCCAGGTCGGCGCCCCAGCTAGGGCTTGATTGGGTTCAGTTGCTCGGCGGAACGTGTCATAGGCACGAGCGGCCAGGAATCCAAAGGTCAATGGCTCAGCGAGCTCTTGCGGAAGGAGGGCTGGCAGGCGTTTCATGACCAACTGGCCAATCTCAAAACCCATCAGTGCCTTGATCTCCTTCGCACCATACTCTTTGAGCAAGCTCATCTGGACCACCTGTATTCCAGTTGGACAGCTATCGAGATTTAATTCTGTAACAAGGTGTTTGAAATAGACATGCTGAGAAGAATGTTGAAGTAGAACAAAGCTGCCAGTGCATCTCGCTCCCCCGGCATCAAAAACATCCAGATGGGTGCAGAGCGCTTGCTGCGCGGCGTCAGGCGGCTTGGTGGCCAACCCTGGTCGATCCAGAGCTGTGGGCAGCGCGGGGACCGGGACAAACGTCTGCGCGTTTGAGATCCCATGTCCGAGAGGCCCAAGACTCTGCACACTTCCTGTGATGTCACATCTTGGTGGAAGTGGCAAAACCTAACCATACTGATAAAGGTAATGATTGACAAAATGTGAGAAGGGACCTGTATCGAAGTCAAGGGAGGTAAGGGACCAGGCACAGTCAAACAAAGATCTAGGAAGATGCACAGGAATAAACATCTTGACATGTCCTAAACTTCCCAAACCTCGTCTTTCTCAACCCTCAACCGAGGCCTCCAGCCAGGCATGCAGCTTCAAATGTGAAGTTCCACCTGGAAATGGGAGTTGCGCAGAGCTATGGTGTGAAAGCAAACTCCGAGAATGACAGCGGCACGGCCCCCGCCTTCACTTTTGACCAGCCCGCTTCCCCGAAGCGTTTTCTCTGAGCGGAAGAGAACCCAGGGAGAAGTGCCAGCTTGGAACGGCAAGCACCCGGCAAAAGGTCTGATGAAGAAGTCCCCTGCGCTCTGAGTTTCATAATACTTCCATACTTCCAGGGAGCTTTACAGCAAAAACATCAGTTAGCCGAGCCCCTGAGCTGAATTTATGGCCAGACACCTACTCTCTGCCACCAATGCGGCAACTCGCATTGGAATTCATCCAACGCAGCATCGGCCAAAACTCCTTCTGCTTTGCGTAGACTTCCAAGACCAGCGTCCCCTGTGGGGAAAATCCCAACACGTTTCATGACGAAAGAAAACACATCGAAAGCCGACTCTATAACATGTGCTGCCAATACTTCTCGTGGCAGGGAAGTATCTCATTCCTGTTTGTGCATCGTCCGACCTCCACTACCAACAACCGAGCTTGCTAAGCTCCCGTGCAGACCGACGTTGCACCACCACCACAACGCGCCCAATAATGCCAGTGAACATGAAACACGGCGAAAGCGCAAGCTTCCATGGGCGCACATTGCATTTGGTGGCAAAGCTGCTGGCAAACGTGTGCACGGTTGATACTCAATGTTGATGACCTTTCGTCTTCAACGCAGGATGTGATGAGAACGTGGCAGCATGGCCAATGAACATGTCATAAAATGTCATTTGCATCCCAAGCCTCAGCCAAAATATTCCCGTGTCCCGTCAACGCCCCAGTTGGGAATATGCCTGAAGGTTAAGCATGAACACGTTCGAGATCATGAGTGACAGCAAGCAATCGGCCCCATGTGCATGAGGAAAATCAAAACACAACGAGTTGACACACCTGACCTGCTTGGTAGGCGCCTTTCTCTGCGTGAAGCGCTTCGGGGCAGGGCTGAACAAACGTCCAAGCGTGGTAGCCAAACCACATAAGGCCCACGCTTTTTCGTGGCACTTGGTAACTTTGTGGCTGAAAACCCGTTGTTAAGAACGGCGGCGACAAGCTTTTAATGAGAGTTCCTTATTTTGACGTTTCACACGGGCCGCATCAAAACATTTGCGCCACGTGTGGCAACAATGGCAATGCTTACAAAACCTCAAGTCCCAGCCACGTCTTCTGCCACAAAGAAGGACGAGGAACCTCACGAGCCGAGGCATGCAGGATGCGGCATTGCAAAAAAAACTGTACTGAAAAATCGAAGCATGTTGGGGGCAGTCGGGTAATGTATACAAGTTCATCACCCCACCTGAGATTATCAGAAAAATCCGTGCGTGTCACGTTGCACTTTTTGCACTCTCTGCGCTACCTGCGTTGCAGCTGGTGACTGCCATCTCCGATCACCATGATTACGAAACACGGTTTCACGCAAAGTCTCGGGAGTGTTGGCACAAACTCACTTTCACCTTGGCCGAATCCAAAAGCTTAGTACGTAAGCCTAATGACTTCCGGGCAGTTCGGCAATTGGAAATGTAGACATTCGGATGCTATTCGAATCCATTTAAAATTCCTTAAGCCGAAAAAAAGATTCAAAATCGTCTTATTATGTCAATGAAATTCTAGAAATTCCTTCGAACACATTGATGCAACGAATTTCTTGCCGGAGATTGGAAATTCTGGCTGTAAAGATATTGATTGAAAGACACGAAAATATTTGCCAACAAAAAATGAAAACACCCTTGAATAGATCGGCAAGTCGCCGTGCTTGCCCAGCACAAGCACAGCACAAGCACGGGAACCATCATCTCCGCTTCCCAATCGAAGGGCCACGCGAGGGCTGGCCTGTCTGGATGTCCGTGCCGTCTTTTTCCTGCGCTTCGCTGACTTTGCCAAGTGCTCTACCCAAGCGGAGAACACGGTATGGGACTGGGTCATCCCAGCGGAAATAGGCAGCAGGCCTTAAAGTCTAGGAGCCTGGACATTTCATGTCCCTTTGGGTGAAGTCCAGCAGATGTTTGTCTGTGGTCCCCGCTAACAGGACGAGGAACGCTCCGTCTGGTGTGGCAACGGTGCCTGGGCATCCTACTTGCTGAGCCGAAAGTAAGGCACTTGGGGTTGCATTTTACGTTGGACCTGCCTTCCTGAGCCTCTTGAGGTTATAAAAGACCGATTTGCTGCTGTATGGTCTGGCCTGGCCAGAGGACGTGAGGTTTCGTAGGAGGACCTCCCAACCTGCACCTGTTGGAGGAGGTCGACATGCCTCCTATATGGGGCCACGAGGGAGAGAAGCTTGTCTGCCCAGTTGATCTTCAAGGCCCTGTCCATCTTCTGTTGCTTTATCGGAAGGCCTTCCTGATTGACCTCTTCAGCGACGGGTCAAACCCCGGAGGCTGGGATTGCATCACTTCCGGACCAACCATGCACATCCGTGCGTGCAGCTTTTGCGCAGAAGGCGAAACCCTCAGTTCCATCAAGCTCGAAAAACGGCTTGAGAAACTTGAGGCCACCCACAGCCCAGGCAAATCCCGTTTTGAGGATGGCCGCCATGAAGGGTTTTCCACCCCATCCCAGACTAGATGTTGTGGGCTGTGTGGCGAAGCCCCTGGATCCTTGATCGGCGAGAAGGAGGAGTGGCCAGGGTCGTCCTCTTCCATGCCAAGGTCAGAGAACGCCGCCGTGATGTCCTCCAACACCGTAGGGTCCTCCTCAGCCTCCGGGGGAGGAAGTGGTCCCTTTTCGAGGTGTAACTTGGAAACTTCTTTCCAGATCGAGGTGACGACCTGGCGGTGCTCCCGCGTGTACACATCCGCCATGTTGCCATGTTCTCACCTTGCCAGCGACCCTGGTATCGCCTTTGGTCTCCGGAGATCCCATGCTGGAAGGCCAGATTTGGCATGAACACCCTGAAGGAAGAAAGCGTGATGGCATCCAACTGTTCTTTCGGAATCCCCAGACCCCTGTCCGACAAAAGGCTCCTGAGCCAGCGAGGTGTCCGTGAATTCCCGCAGGGGTGTTGCATGAGCCTGAGTCTGTATCTGTCCGGCGCAGGCAGGAGCAAACGGCTGCAGGGAACCCTCCACGAGTGGCTTCCACCAGCCTTGAGAAGCTGATCAAAGGAGCAATGAGCGGCTGAGGCCTAAGGCCTAAGGCAGCGAACTGCAAAGTATCAGGCCTTGTACGCATCGTGTCCGAGAATCGAGCAGAACAGCCGATGCAGAAGCGGAAGAAGGAAGCGGCAAAGGCGTCCGCAGGCCAACTTTTCCAAGGCCGAGACCACCTGGACCGAAGGTCGTGTTGCCCGTCTTTCCTTTTTTGACTCCGAAGAGATAAGCATGCTTTGGACAAACTCGTAGTGCACGCAAAGCATCTGATCCGACTGGGGGTTGAAACCCCCGAAGTGCTCCGACAGCCAGCGGGTAGTCCGCCAAAATTGCGAAAATTTGTAAGCCGGCAGGCGCTCCGCCGATGACCTGTCCAACCAGAAGCAACACTTTTCGCCCCACCAGCTCCCTTCATGTGCGTGATTGGTTACTTGCTCGCCTTCTCCATCAGGGTCATGGAGCCGCCGGATTGCTTTCTGGATCCCACCACGGAGGAAGACCCCCAATACCTCCAGTTCCCACAAAGAAGCGGGAGCATGGTGTCGACCGGACGACCGGACCGTGACCGGGCCCCCCCCGGTCGCCCGGTCACCCGTTTGGTCCGGTCACCCGGTCAGCCCGGTCGTCCGTTCAGTCCGGTCACCCGGTCAGGGCAAGTGGACCTTGACTGAGGACAAGAAGGGACTGACCCGACCGGACAACCTGGCTGGCCTGACCGGACAACCGGGCCGACCTGACCGTGACCGGGTGAACGGGCTGACCGGCTGGCTGACCGACCTGACCTGACCGGCTGGCCGGACTGACCCGACCGACCTGACCGGGCTGACCGATCCAAGCGACCGGACTGACCTGACCGGGCTGACCTGACCGAACTGACCGACCTGACCAGACTGACCTGACTGGGCTGACCTGACCGGGCTGACCTGACCGAACTGACCGACCTGACCGCTGACCGGGCTGACCTGACCGAACTGACCGACCTGACCGGGCGACCGGACCGACCTGACCAGGCTGACCTGACCGGGCTGACCTGACCGAACTGACCGACCTGACCGGGCGACCGGGCCGACCTCACCAGACTGACCTGACCGGGCTGACCTGACCGAACTGACCGACCTGACCGGGGTACCAGAGTTAGTACTAATCTTCTTTATTTGCCAACGCCGTCATTCCAGACCTTCGTTTTCCTTTTCGTCATAAGGCGGCACCGTGGTCTTTGCAGCATTCGCTGTTCCTGGATGAAGGAATATTGACAGCCACCCAAATGTTTTCCTACTTAATTGCAAAGAGAATAGATGTTTCCCTATTAAATCCAAAGAAAACAAAGGTTTTGCTATTGAAATCCCAGAGCGAATAGAGATTTTCCCTGAAATTTCCGAGAAGATAGATTTCCCTCATAAAGTGCAAAGGACAACAACGACAACAACGACAACAACGACGACAACGACAACAACGACGACAACGACAACAACGACGACAACGACGACAACGACGACGACAACAACGACAACGACAACGACAACGTTGCAAAGAGAATAGATGTTTCCTCATTAAATCCGAAGAAAACAAAGGTTTTGCTATTGACATCCCAAAGCGAATAGAGATTTTCCCTGACATTTCCGAGAAGATAGATTTCCCTCACAAAGTGCAAAGGAAATGAATATTCTATGTTAAAATACAAAGAAATGAGTGATTTCAGACTTTTGCGAATCTATGAAAAAAGCCTATATTTTCGTCCGAAACGGGCTTCGCACAAAAGCTGGCAGCGAGGCGGCGGCTCCGGAGCGCATACATATTAAAGAACCTATCGTGCTAGAATGGTGTTTGCAACTGGGGGGGGGCTGCGCCCCCCCCCAACCCCCCCGCTTTTTCATAACCTATCGTGCGAAACTTCCTCCTACTACTACTACTACTGCTACTACTTCTTCTTCTACTACTACTACTACTACTACTACTACTACTACTACTACTACTACTGCTACTGCGACTGCTACTGCTACTGCGACTGCGACTGCTACTGCTACTGCTACTGCTGCTGCTGCTACTACTGCTAGTACTGCTACTATTGCTAGTACGACGACGACGACATGTTTTTGTCTTTTTTTTTGGGAATGATACCGCGGTTTCTGGGTACTCTTTTCTCCTGCATCTCAAGGCATGCTCACGTACCGTTTTTATTTGATTTTATACTACACGGGCCCCAAAAATTGGCCAATTTTTGCGATTTTTTTACTATGTCTGCGGTAGGATTTTTTGTGCAGATTTTGAGTTTTTGCTGATTCTAAGCTAAAAAAGTACAGAGTCAGCGTGATTTCAGACTTTTGCGAATCTATGAAAAAAGCCTATATTTTCGTCCGAAACGGGCTTCGCACAAAAGCTGGCAGCGAGGCGGCGGCTCCGGAGCGCATACATATTAAAGAACCTATCGTGCGAGAATGGTGTTTGCAAATGGGGGGGGCTGCGCCCCCCCCAACCCCCCCGCTTTTTCATAACCTATCGTGCGAAACTTCCTCCTACTACTACAACAACTACTACTACTACTACTACTACTACTACTACTACTACTACTACTACTACTACTACTACTACTACTACTACTACTACTACTACTGCTACTGCTACTGCTACTGCTACTGCTACTGCTACTGCTACTGCTACTGCTACTGCTACTGCTACTGCTACTGCTGCTGCTGCTACTACGGCTAGTACTGCTACTATTGCTAGTACGACGACGACAACGATGACGACTATACTACTACAAACATTTCTATAAACCTATCGTGCGAGAATGGTGTTTGCAAATGGGGGGGGCTGCGCCCCCCCCAACCCCCCCGCTTTTAAATAACCTATCGTGCGAAAATGATGTTTGCAAATGGGGGCGGCTGCGCCTCCCCAACCCCCCCTCTTTTTTTGAAGCCGCACAAGCTTGCTTCAAAGCATACACATGCAGCCCCCCCAACCCCCCGGCTTGCCTTTGACGGAAAAAAACCCTAAGTCTCCTTGGTACGTTAATATCAGGGAAAATCTCTATTCGCTTTGGGATTTTCAATAGCAAAACCTTTGCTTTCTTTGGATTTAATCGGGAAACATCTATTCTCTTTGCGACCCCCCGCTTGCCTTTGACTGAAAGAACCTAAGTCTCCTTGGTACGTTAATAGGAATCCTTTCATTTCTTTGTATTTTAAAATAAAATTCATTTCCTTTGCACTTTGTGAGGGAAATCTATCTTCTCGGAAATGTCAGGGAAAATCTCTATTCGCTTTGGGATTTCAATAGCAAAACCTTTGTTTTCTTTGGATTTAATAAGGAAACATCTATTCTCTTTGCAACGTTGTCGTTGTCGTTGTTGTCGTTGTCGTTGTTGTCGTCGTCGTTGTCGTCGTTGTCATCGTTGTTGTCGTTGTCTGTGAAAAGCAGAGCTCGCGCAGCAGTCTCTTTTTCACTTTGCACTTGAGCCAAACACCAAAGTGTTCAGCAAGCTTCAGTTCTTGCAGCAAGCTCTCTCCAAGAGCTAAGGGCTCCAAAAAGCTACGAATTCCGTCTCAACTTTGTTCTACAAAGGAGGTAAAGCAAAAGAACAATGCAACTGCTTTGGTCTACACCTCGGGGACTTCAGGTCACTTCCGAACAGCAAAACAGCGAAGCTTCAGAGTCCACTCTGCACTCCTACTCCCATCCTACACGTCCAACGGCAACGAACGAAGTGGCGGGGACACGGAGTGAGTTACAGCAAGACAGAACCTCAGAGTTCTGACACGCACTTCTTCACTACTGCTCTCAAGCAGTTCCAAGTGCCTCAAAACTCATCCTAGGCCATGCCAACAAGACAAGACATGCGTCGCAGTCAACCCAAACATGCTTTAGGGACTTTGGGCAAAACCAAACATGCTCATGCCAAGTCATGCAGCAGAAAAACTCTCATCTTCTCTCTGTACAGTCAAACACCACATGGCACCAACTGGGCAAACACTACAGGTGAATTTTTCTTTCGTCTGCACGCTGCGAGGCGTAGCCACCCGAAGGGGCTGTGGGTTCAAGTGAAACAAAAGCTTACTAAACCTGTGGGGTGAAACTGCCGGTAAGTTCCCCCTCTCATTCCTTGTCCTCGGTTTTGACGTACCGCTACCCTCAACCGAAGTGAGGCCGGAATGTCGTTTTGACCAAGTCGTTGCCATTGGCTTGAAGACTTTGGCCAAGGCAAATTGCCTGTATGCTTGCACATTCTCTGTGTTGTCTATTCGGGAGGTGATCCATGCCCTCGTTCGTGGAGGCCGCTATCCCTCAACCGAATGGAGGTCAATTCCTGTAGACCCAGATGCTCGTTCTACGAGTCTCATTGCATGTCCTGAGTGCTTCCATTCCACACCCCTCAACCGTAGTGAGGCCGGACATGTCTTCAAACCAGGTCATGGCCCAAGGCTTCATGGACTCTGGTTACGGTGGCTGCCTCTTGCATGCACAGGGCATACTTCCTGTGGCTTTTGCCGGGAGGTGATCCATGCCCTCCGATTCTCAGAGGCCGCTATCCCTCTACCAGCGGGGTGGTCAATCCCCATAGACCGTTCCATATTGATTGAGGCCCAATTCTGCACTTTCTCGTCATCTCACCTTGACGGATCCATGCCCTCGATTCACACATCTCCAACACGAGCCAAGCAGGAGGAACAGGTGAAGTACCTGCCCAAACATACCCCTTTTTAGGCTGGAGGACGCTAAGCGACCGAAATCGCCGCTACGCACCGGTGACCCCACGCAACACACCTTCAACAGGTGGCCGGTACAGGCGCCTGACAGGGGGCCGGGCAAGGTGCCGACTACCAGGTCAAACCCACCCTGCCTGTGAGGATATTATGTACGAGGCCGCTATCCATTGTGAGACTTGACATTCTCCAATCCAGCCGTAGCCATTGTTCCAAAGACAGTCGGCTGGCTCTCTTGTTTGCCACCAAAACTCCATACTCTCACTTGGGAGTCGATTACCCTCAACCGAAGTGAGGCCCACTCTGCGACCACGGGTTAGCTGCATGCTTGGTCCTTGTGGGCATTTCTGAAAGCAGTGACAACGAATCCTCCACGGAGTACGTCCCGGCTAATCCAGGGTTCTCAGCAGCTCCGGTGTTCTCGCACTTACTAACCGTGCCTTGCTGTTCTCCCCAGAATCGCCCTGGCTTTCTCGCACTTACTTACCAGTCGACGTATTCCTCACCACAAAGTTCACTGCCATTGGGACTCGAGGCTTCTCCAGTCAATGCTGGTACCTGCCCTTTGCTGGCCTCCATGCCTGGCCAGTGTCCCTCATCCATATTCTGGAGTTTGCTCTTTATAGCTCACATTCCCTCAGACCAAAGTCGAGGCCGAATGTTGCATTGTTTGATTGAGCACTGCTGGGCTGCGGTTGTACCTATCAATTGCTCCGACACACCGGCACCGCGGAGTCTATGCTTCAAGCTGCTTTACCGCTTTGCGCCCAGTAGCATCAGCCGTCCAAGCTGCATGCAGTGCTTCCAGAGTCTCCAAGACTCAATTCCGGCAGACCAATAAGTGCCCGGCCTGCCCATTCCATCATTCTTCCCTCAGCTGATGCGAGGCCGGAACATCATGCACCTTCTTCATCAGCGAGGCGTTTTCGCAACCCTTCTGTTGTTCCCTCAGCCTTGGCGAGGCCGAACCATCCATTCCCTCAGCCGAGGCGAGGCCGAACCTTTACTCCAGCATAGCGAGGCCGAAACTGCCCTTGCATAGCCTCACATGGCATCTCCGCTGGTTTCACGGGTTCTGAAAGCATTGTGCTGCGAGGGTATGTTGATCACCCTCATTCCGGCAAGCTAAGCCTGCATTCGGGTTTGCCCTCACATGGCCCTTAATGGCGAGGCTGTGCTCGCAATTCAATCCACTTCCACTTGCCTGGTTACTGGCCGGCGACGTTTCATCACCTCAAAGGAGCATCCATTCCTCATCATCTTCCGACAAGGCCAGCATCCTTTTCGACACATCAGGGCCATACACCATAATCACCAGCCTACCCAGGTACCTGATTTCACGTCCGCTGCCATCAATCATCAGGGATGGGTTTGTGGGATCGACATAGAAATCGATGTTCCAAAGCCTCGCATCCTCACAGCATCGGAAACCCCGGAGCTGCAGGTGGAGGTTAGCTGCATTCAGGCTTCTTTGGACATTCCAATTCCCACAGCTGCCCCAGGCTATGTTGCCTCTCCTGGTGCGACGGACAAAGTGGATACGATATGACTGCGACAGTTCCAGGAAAAGCCCTTCACGACGCCCCTGGTGTGACCATGCAAATACACAGCACGCAATTGCCGGCATGGTCCGTCGCTCTCCGTCTGCCTTGCAGCAAGTCTCTTTGGCGTGTGGCACACTGTCCAGGGCACTGTGGACGGCCACTCTGGTCGCCGATAGCCCACGAGCGGAAATCTGCGGTTGAGACGGGGCCCTGTTCCAACAAAGGAAGTTAAGGCCTCGGAACCCTCTTCGCTCGCACAGGTCTGCTATCTTCTTGCACCTCAGTTCCAGGAGGTGTTTCCCTCAACCGTGGTGAGGCCGAACTATGTTGTCCCTCCGAGCGAGGCCGAAGACTTTCCACAATCCTCAGCTTATGCGAGGCCGACAACACCCTCAGCAGCGAGGTCGAAAGTTCCCTCAGCACTCGGCGAGGCCGTACACAGGCAGCTATGTGGCTGGCAGAACTACCGAGCAAACACAGTGGTTTCGGTTTGAGTCCTGTTGGAGCCCACCCTTAGGTACAGCCTCCAGGCCACCGAACAGCTCACTACCTGCGCACCCCACCGGGGTTGAGCCGAGACTTGAGCCAGGTGAATTTTTCGTCTGCACGCTGCTTGGCGTAGCCACCCGAAGGGGCTGGGGTATCAGGGTGAAACTTACAAACTCTGCACAGTGAGACTACCGGTACTAGCCCTCACTTCCCTCAGACATTTGTCGAGGCCGAAATCCATTCCCTCAGACCGTGGTCGAGGCCGAAATTCCCTCAGGTCATGCCGAGGCCGAATTTCCCTCACTTGCACCCCTCAGACCGGAGTCGAGGCCGAAACTCCCTCAGGCAGCACGCCGAGGCGGTATTCCTTGATTCGGTTTGGGTGCCTCTCAGACCACTAGCCATGTTTCTTGTCTGGGCTGCGCTGCTCACTCATCAGCTTCGTCATATGGCATGCCCAACGTGATTTTCTGGATCTCTGTTGCCGGGACCGGAAGTAGGGTTCCATCCCATCCTCGTTTTGCAATCCCGGCATCCAGTAGGTGCTGGGCAAAAGGCCCGACATTGCCTACGCACGCCATCCAAAGCGCGCTGGCTTTGCCGTCGTACGTTCTGACCAATCCACGTATGGTTGCCAGTAGCTCCTCGTCATATTTCTCCAGGAGGCGTACGAGGCCGCTTGATAACTTGTATCTCTCCTCCTGCAGCGTCGACCACTCTGCCGTGTCAAAGAACACTGCCCGTGGTAGCGATCCTGACATCGGGTCGCGCCCAACGTTGCTTACCGTGATATCCGATAGAGCAACTCCTTGCGTGGTCAGCCATGACGTTATAGCCACCAGGTAAAACAGGGACTGTCTGAGGACCCCGGCTTCTTGGCGATGTTCCTGCCACCATGTGTTGAACAGCTCTGCCCTGCGGATGATACTTCCATAGAAGTAGTGGTGGCAGTACCCCTCCACCGCCTCGTCGAAAAGGACTCCGATCCATCCTGCCCACAGGGTCCTGGTGACCAGGGTGGGGAATTGTTCCCCGTACCCTGCTTCGTTGCCAAAGCTCTGGGGTTCCATCGCTAGTTTCATGACCCATAGCCGATCCAGAGCATATCCTCGTCGAGTGCGCCCCGCACCTATAAAGGGAAGCACCCTAGGCTGTAAGCTTTGCCCTGTCGTTGGGTTGCGGACCAATTGGACCTCCCCGAGGCCGCACTGTCTTCTCCTCTCTCCCGTAGGCGTACCGGACCCACCGGAGATTCTGAAGCACTCTCCTCATCCCTATCCCAAGTCTGCTCCGGGTGTCTGGCCTGTCGAAGCGGGGAACGGTCTCGGGGCTGATCCTGCTGCTTGTTCTTGCTTTTACCCTTGCCTTTGTCCGGCCGATTCCTTAGCCAGGATGGCAGTCGGGACCCTTGTCTCCTCATCGTCGCATCCGTCTTCCATTGCCTCATTTCTACAGACCCGCCTTGTGCAATTTAGAAGCCCACAGCTGCTTCCGCTCTTCACTGAGGTAGGTCTCCGCTTGGTAGACCCAATCGTTCCTTGTGCGGCAGCGAGCGAGGCTGCGACACGCCGCTTGTAGGTGAGTGTAGTTTGCCCTCCTGGGGTCTGTTTCCAGGAACTGCTCCTCCAAAATTGGTTTCCACGAATCCTCAAGTTTGATTCGCACCTGGAGGGTCAATTTCTCCGGCTGCTCGTCCTCCGGCCGGTCTTGTGAGGATGAGGACGCCGTTGTTCCACCCTCAGCTCTGCGAGGCCGAGGCCTCTCTCTTTACCCTCAGCGATGTCGCAAGCACGCGGCACCGCGAGGCCGAATTACACTCCCTCAGCAAGGCGAGGCCTTAACACCAATCGCTATTCCCCGTTGCGAGGCCCTCACCCTCAGCTACGAGGCCGAAAACCCTGTCTCCTTGCACCAAACGGCTACGGAATTACTGCGTTCCCTCAGCTTGGCGAGGCCTAACAAACAATGACATCTTCTGCTGTGCACTGGCTTGGGGCTTAGCTTTGGCGTGTTTCCCACCAAACTGAACGCGAGGCTGTTGAAACTGGACGCTGCTCATATTTCCACCGTTGACAAGGGTTTGCGCTTGGGTTGCCAGCTTGCCCTGAGAAGTTCGCGATTTGCACTCACCCGCCAGGCTTTTATTGCACTTCTGGCTGACCGGTGCATGTGTTCTGTCACACTTTGTGCAAACCCATCGGATTCCCAAATTCACCATATTATGGGAGGGGTGGATACCCCACTCTTCCCGCACTCGCGCCTCCGGCTGGTTGACGCAGTACTGCTCCAATACCTCCTCCAAGTTCGTGAGGGTTTGTTGTACATACAAACCGCACAGTTGGCATTTCAGTGTTAAATTCCGGGGGTGTTCACTGCCCTTCTCCCAGTGGTGCCCTCGCTCCGGGTTTTCGAGCAACTGCCAAAGCCGCTGGCGTTTGTTGAGTTTGGCCCTGCCATGCTCTTTTCTGCATCCCTCAGCTTTCTGCGAGGCTTCCATCTTCTCCTTGTAATGCGCATGGTCCAGGATGAAGGGGAAATCTGCTTCGTTGCGCCTCCGCAATATGTGGGCTGCGCGTTCTCCGTAAGCCAGTGAAAGTGTACGCACCACGTTGTCCAGCTCTTTGACACGCCTGCGCTGGGCTGTAAGCAGCCGCCGCTACTTCGCCACATACTTTGTCCGCCATGTCGTTCGCTGCACGTCTCCACAACGTGCCCGGGCCCATTTTTTCCAGGAATGCTTCTTCTGTTTTGTGGGACGGGACCCATGTTGCTTTGATTCGTTTCTTTCCATTCCACACTTTGCTCCATTCCAGGTCATCGTCCGGCGGTTGTATTTTTTGTAGCGCTTGGACTGCCGGCTTGCAGTCCATTGTGACGTCAATCAGATCCTCCGTGTGCTCCATTAGTCTGAAAAGTGCACGGCGCTCCATGTCCACTACCGGCTGCCACGGGTAGACCAGCTCCGTAATTTGTCCGACTTTCACCAACTCACCATCTTTCCAGTTCATAGCCACCACTGCGAGGGCTGATGTTTGTACACGTGGGTCTATTCCTCCTGGACCTCCGCTGGCGTCAGTGGCGAAGATCAAGCCTTCTGCTTCCACTGTAGCGTCTGCTGCAAAGCATCCTTGGTAGCGCAGTCCCAAAAGATGCTCCGGCGGCTTGGGGTGCCACACCGCCGGCTTGGGCAGGAGTGCCCTTGTCCACAGGCACTCCCATGGGTATTTGTGGCGCAGGTATTCCTGGAGCTTGGGTTCTTTGAACCCTTGGTCTCGCCAGTAAGGGCATTCTTTGAGGACATGCTCCAGAGTGGCTGGCACTTGGCACTTCTTGCACCAGCCAGGCTTGGACTCCGTGATAACGCCCGCATGCCACACTGACTTCATCCCTTCCATAAGGCCCGGGCTTAAGCCTCCCAGCTTCGTCAGCTTGTGATGCGGCGTCCAATCCAGCCCCTCCTGGGCCCCCTTTCCACCTGCTTGTCGCGTTATTGCAGCCCTTTTTTGTTCCTCGAGGAATCCCTCAAGCCATTTGTAGGCGAGGCCACCCATGCGTGGCTGGGTCCAATCGACGTTGAGGACATTTCCTCTCTTCCATTTGCCCGGGTCACTTGCATCCACCTTCAAATCCATTAAGTACGCCATGGTTGCTGCCATCGGTCCCGTGACCAGTGGCCAGTGGTGTTTGGCCGCACTTAACCTCCTCCAAGTGGCTTTCCAGGCCAATTCAAAGTGGGCTTTGCCTCCACCAATCCATGCGCTGAAAACTTTTGCCACCACCTTGAAATGCTGCTTGTGGATTGTGCGCTTCGGGTCCTGACATTTCTTGGCTCCCATATCCAGTATGGTTTCCAAACTACCAAGCTTGTATTTGCCCAGGTGTTTGCCCACCACTGTTCGGAGCCACTTCATTCTTTTGGGCGATACCCCCACGGATGGGTGCCCCCACAAAGCAACGGATGTGATCGCGGCCTTGACTACGCGGAGTTTAGTGCTGGGCGGCGGCCCCAGCCTGGACAGCTTGCTCTGTCGGGCATGTGCTTTTTTTGCCCGTGTGGCCGACGTCACCAAACGACGCTTTCGCCCACCGGTACTGTCGACGCCCAAGTCCCGCATCACGTCGTACACTTGTGGCTCATGCGGTAACAGTAGTTCTCGCAGGTGCTTGCTCGCCTGGGTACTGCTGGCTACAAACCCTGTCTTCTTGGATGAAATCGTGAACCCATTTGCGTCCATCCCGTCCTTTAAGCTGCGGTAGACTCGGATCGCACTGTCTGCCGCTTGTTTGAAGGATTTATGCTGGACGTCAATTGAGACATCATCCAACCAGCAGTCCACATTTGCCACATCTTTGCGCTTTTGGATCTTGTCAATCGTCTGACGCAATGCCACTTTCGCTAATGACGGCGCCGCAGGGCACCCCGCTTGCACTCCATTCGTAGCTCTGATGCCTGCCGATAGCACCCCATCTGCTGCCAAGTATCTGGCACCCATGTACACTTCCAGTGCCATTTTCAGGATTAGCGGTGGCCGTTGCTGCCGCTATCAGTTGCTGAAACTGGATGGTATCGAAAAAGGACTCAAGGTCCACAAATAGCGACACCACATGCACACCATTTGTCTTCGCCGCCTCGTTTCGCAACAGTCTGCCTACAGCCACGTCCAGGCAGCAACTGCCTGGGACCGCCTTGTCGTACTTGGCATTTTTTGCGTAACTCACCTGCCAAGTACTTACCAAATCCCATCGCAATCGGACCCAGGTTCGGTACAGGATGTGCAACAAGGCGATTGGTCTCTCCCGGGTCAGATTCTTAGGCAGCATTGCAATAAGTGAGACTGTCATTTGTTTCGGCCATGTTGCTTTGGCCTCACACTCATGGTAGAAAGCCACTACCGCTTCGACCGCTTTGTCGTCCATGGCCTGCAAATGGTCGATCCGCCATCCATCCGGCCCCGGGCTCTTTAGGGCCAATTTCTTGATCCTTGCCTTGACCTCTTCAGGATTCAGCGGCTCCACGCTGGCCGCCTGTTTTTTGGCTGCATCCTCAAGCTCCAGCATGAGCGAGGCCGTTTGTGCCATCGGTGTGCCCTTCGTCCACACCGCCGCCCAGTGGTCACGTCGAATGTGTGGCCGTTCCAGCATGTCATATTCCATGTAGGGTCTCTGTACCACTTGTTCGTCTTTCCGCAAGGCATTGTACAGCGGTCGCATGCCCTTTTCCATGGCCTTGCTGAGCCTTTGCTTGTACTGGTGGGCCGTCTCCTCTATGTCTGCCTTTCTCGCGTAGCATTGCTGTTCATCAATGCGCTTTAGGACAAGTCTGGCGTCTGTGCCTCGTCCCAGGATACTCACAAGCATATCCTCCCGGCTCTGCACATCGCCCTCATAGTACACGTTGAGTCTACTTTGGACTAGGCGCGCCACCGGATGCGCGTCTCCATGATGTCTGCCTTGCTTGACCCATTGTTGGACACGGTTCCAAAAAGCTGCCCTCTTGCCTGTCCAGACAACGTTCTCCGGGTTGTGGACCACCAATTTCTTCCGGACGATTTCTGCTTTGACACCCATACCGTCGATTCGTCCTGTGATCGACCTCTCCACACTTGCACTCAGGTGAGCGAATTTCTCACTGAGTTCATCTTCCATCCTGGGTTCATCCAAGATGTGGATGGTCTGTGTGTTTTTAACCGGTGTGTATTCCACGGTTTCCGTTACCAGTGCTCCCGCCTTCTTCATTTGGGGAACATCAGGGCTGCTGCACGGTTGGGCTATCCTCCAATGCATCGCAGCATGAGGCCGAAAAGGGGTTTCCCAATCCGTTTTCACTTGCAGGATGGGCACCAAGCATTTCGCAACCAGCCCATAATCGATTTCGTCCGATCCTTGGGCCGTTGGTTCCCCCACTCCCACAAGTGCACCACCAACTTCTGTCGCCAGAGTTGTGCCCCTCATGGTATCCTGGGCTTCATTCCAATCACCCAGCACCATATATGGCACTTTGCAGCCCTTGAGAAAGGCTATCAGTCTCGCCAGTACTTGGATATTGTTTGGAGCCTGGAATCCGACCCCGCTCTCCAAATACAGACTGACGATGATCAAATCCCAGCCTTTGTTTCTCATGGCACATGCCAGGAAGCCCGCCGGTCCTGAACCATACTCGGTAAGGTATCGCAGGTTCCTATGTCGGGGTGCCACCACTGCCAGGCCTCCTTGTACACCCTTAATTTTTGTACTGCCAGGCATGCCAATGAAGGTGTATCCCATATCTTGGCAATGGCTCATGGCTTGCTGGATACCCTCCGTCTTGAGATGGGTTTCCTGCAGCACCACCAGGTCCGGTCCTAGTTCGTGTATCCATGCCGCTATGGGTTTCCTCCAGCTGGTGATGTTAGCCGCTGTGATTTTGATACATTCGGCCTTATCATCTTGGCGATACCCACTTGCCACATCTTCCAAGATCCATTTGGCATATTGTGCGTCCTGCTCCACAAAGGAACGAAGCACTTCGTGGCATGCTCGTTGTTGTAGCGGGTTGAGTTCCTGCTCTTCCAGCTTCTCAATGGCTTCGAGTGCGGCAGCCTCACTGGAAGCATCATATCTACCCACCACTTGGCATAGCGTTTGCCACTCCTGTGGCAGATCTTTTGGTGGTTCCTTGGGTTTTGCTTTCCGCTTCTTGGGCTTTTGTTTTCCTCTGCGACCCTCAGCACACGGCGAGGCCGAAAACCGTATTTCCTCAGCTTCCTGCGAGGCCTTCATGTTCTCCCCTCTAACCGCTGCATGGTCTCTCATCTGTGTTTGGCTTCCCTCAGCTTCTCGCGAGGCCGAATGCTCACATTCCTCTTCGATGTCTTCCTTTGTCATATGGAAGTATCTGGGCCCTGTGACCGCCCAACTGCTTTCTACAGCTCGGACAGGAGTAGGACCTTTCGTAACTGGACTCCAGCGCTCTTGGCTGTCCTCCACTGTGCTGTTTGTACTAGGCACATGGGTACTAGACACAGCTTGACTGCCTTCCCCATGTGCCTGTGGCCATACAATGTCCCCATGACACTGCTTCTGGCCACCACCAAAAGTGTAAACAGAGTCTCCCCATTGAGACTCCTCGGGTTTTCCTTTCTTCTTTAGGCTGTTCGGACCAGAAGCTGCTCTGAGGTGTCGGCCCCTCCGCTCCTGTCCCAGCCTGAGGTTTCATTCGCCATGGGCACGCGCCGGCGAGCGTTCGCGCCCCGTCGGCGTTGCCCTGACTGACACATCTCGAGACATGCGCATCGGACCATACATGCCAATTTCGACTGGCATGCCTGGCTCTCTTGGTCCCAAGACTCCACTCCAGTCTGTCTCCACGACCTTGACTGCCATCTTCGTTTTGAGCGCCTCCGCTTGCTCCTCGGACAGGATGATCCCTTCCTTTTCCAGGTATGACGCGACGTCCTTGTACGGCGAGTCCTCTTCATCTTTCACACAGGCTTGTAACTTCCTCTGTGCTTCCGCAACCTCAAGCTCCGTGGCCTGGATGGCCTGGCTGACTTGCGCAAGCTGCTTCATGGCCTGCTCGAACTCGCTCTTGATCTTTTCCGTTTTGTCTTGAAGCCGGACCTTCTTCTCAATGAGTGATCTCAGCTTGTTTGTCGTCCTTCTGTATGTACCAACATGGCGGCTGAGCTCCTGCTTTGGCGTCTCGTCCTCAGGCTTGTAGTCCCCTGGCGGGGGAATACCCGCTGCTCTGAGCAGCCTTTGCACTGCGGGCTCAGCTCCTTGCCACACCGTTTCAATGGCCGCGTGGTACTCCTTTTGCGTCATGCTTTCGGCTTGCGATCCACTGCCTGGTAGTCCCGGGGGCCAAATGGGCCCCGGCTCCATCGTCTGCGGCTTCCATCCTGCTTCTTCGATGGCCTTCTTTGCCTCCATAGAAAGCGTTCCCCACGCCTTCGTGAGGGCCTGGTCGGCCATCCCTTCTTTGTTCTTGGCCTGTCTTGTCCACCATGTAGCGTCTTCTTTGGGCCATTGCCACCTCTTACGCTGGCTTGGCCATGCCTTCTCGCGGTGGTTGGTCTTTTTCCACGCCTTTCCGCAATGCCAGCAGTTCGGGTTGTAGTACAGTTCTGCATTCCAGACCCAGCCCACCTCACAGTGGGCACACACAGTACAATGTTTCCCCATGACTGCTGCACGCCTGATGCCAGTCCCACCAGCACCTCAGCGAAGCGAGGCCGGAAATTCCCTCAACCGCAGTGAGGCCGAACTTTATGTGTCCTCAGCCGGGGCGAGGCCGAAGCTGGCCACTCCCTCTGCCGAAGTGAGGCCGAAAACACACCCTCTGCCGAAGCGAGGCCGAAAAGTTCCCTCAGCACTTGGCGAGGCCGTACTCAGGCAGCTATGTTGCTTGCAGCCGACTACCAAGCAAACACAGTAGTTTCGGTTCGAGTCCTGTTGGAGCCCACCCTTAGGTACAGTCTCCAGGCAACAGCACTCCCTACCTGAGCACCCCACCGGGGTTGAGCCGAAACTTGAGCCAGGTGAATTTTTCGTCTGCACGCTGCGAGGCGTAGCCACCCGAAGGGGCTGTGGTTCAAGTGAAACAAAAGCTTACTAAAACTGTGGGGTGAAACTGCCGGTAAGTTCCCCCTCTCATTCCTTGTCCTCGGTTTTGACGTACCGCTACCCTCAACCGAAGTGAGGCCGGAATGTCGTTTTGACCAAGTCGTTGCCATTGGCTTAAAGACTTTGGCCAAGGTAATTGCCTGTATGCTTGCACATTCTCTGTGTTGTCTATTCGGGAGGTGATCCATGCCCTCGTTCGTGGAGGCCGCTATCCCTCAACCGAATGGAGGTCATTCCTGTAGACCCAGATGCTCGTTCTACGAGTCTCATTGCATGTCCTGAGTGCTTCCATCCACACCCCTCAACCGTAGTGAGGCCGGACATGTCTTCAAACCAGGTCATGGCCCAAGGCTTCATGGACTCTGGTTACGGTGGCTGCCTCTTGCATGCACAGGGCATACTTCCTGTGGCTTTTGCCGGGAGGTGATCCATGCCCTCCGATTCTCAGAGGCCGCTATCCCTCAATCCACGTATGGTTGCCAGTAGCTCCTCATCATACTTCTCCAGGAGGCGTACAAGGCCGCTTGATAGCTTGTATCTCTCCTCCTGCAGCATCGTCCACTCCGCCGTGTCAAAGAACACTGCCCGTGGTAACGATCCTGACATTGGGTCGCGCCCAACGTTGCTCACCGTGACATCCGATAGAGCAACTCCTTGCATGGTCAGCCATGACGTTATAGCCACCAGGTAAAACAGGGACTGTCTGAGGACCCCGGCTTCATGGCGATGTTCCTGCCACCATGTGTTGAACAGCTCTGCCCTGCGGATGATACTTCCATAGAAGTAGTGGTGGCAGTAACCCTCCACCGCTTCGTCGAAAAGGACTCCAATCCATCCTGCCCACAGGGTCCTGGTGACCAGGGTGGGGAATTGTTCCCCATACCCTGCTTCGTTGCCAAAGCTCTGGGGTTCCATCGCCAGTTTCATGACCCATAGCCGATCCAGAGCATATCCTCTTCGAGTGCGCCCTGCACCTATGAAGGGAAGCACGCTAGGCTGTAAGCTTTGCCCTCCTGTCGTTGGGTTGCGGACCAATTAGACCTCCCCAAGCCAATGGAGCGCTGTCCGTGGCCTCTGCTGGTTCTGCAGTTTATGCACCAAAAGGTGCACAGGCTTGACTTGCCCCATTGCTTCTTTTTGCTCCTGTCCCTCAGCTTCCTGCGAGGCCGTACTGTGGGCACCTGGTCCTTCCGCCAGTGTGACTGTGCGAGGCTGGCTTGCCTCTCGCTCTTCATTGACACCCTCAGCTTGGTGCGAGGCCGCGCTGTCTTCTCCTCTCTCCCGTAGGCGTACCGGACCCACCGGAGATTCCGAAGCACTCTCCTCTTCCCTATCCCAAGTCTGCTCCGGGTGTCTGGCCTGCCGAAGCGGGGAACGATCTCGGGGTTGATCCTGCTGCTTGCTCTTGCTTTTGCCCTTGCTTTTGCCCTTGCCTTTGTCCGGCCGATTCCTCAGCCAGGATGGCAGTCGGGACCCTTGTCTCCTCATCGTAGCATCCGTCTTCCATTGCCTCATTGCTACAGGCCCGCCTTGAGGATGAGGACGCCGTTGTTTCACCCTCAGCTCTGCGAGGCCGAAGCCTCCTCTCTTACCCTCTGCGGTGTCGCAAGCACGCGGCACCGCGAGGCCGAGCTACACTCCCTCAGCAAAGCGAGGCCGTAAACACCAATCGCAATTCCCCGTTGCGAGGCCCTCACCCTCAGCTACGAGGCCGAAACCCTGTCTCCTTGCACCAAACGGCTGCGGAATTACTGCGTTCCCTCAGCTTGGCGAGGCCTAACAAACAATGACATCTTCTGCTGTGCGCTGGCTTGGGGCTTAGCTTTGGCGTGTTTCCCACCAAACTGAACGCGAGGCTGTTGAAACTGGACGTTGCTCATACTTCCACCATTGACAAGGGTTTGCGCTTGGGTAGCCAGCTTGCCCTGAGAAGTCCGCGATTTGCACTCCCCCGCCAGGCTTTTATTGCACTTCTGGCTGACCGGTGCATGTGTTCGGTCACACTTTGTGCAAACCCAACGGATTCCCAAATTCACCATATTATGGGAGGGGTGGATACCCCACTCTTCACGCACTCGCGCCTCCGGCTGGTTGACGCAGTACTGCTCCAAGACCACCTCCAAGTTCGTGAGGGTTTGTTGTACATACAACCCGCACAGTTGACATTTCAGTGTTAAATTCCGGGGGTGTTCGCTGCCCTTCTCCCATTGATGCCCGCGCTCCGGGTCTTTAAGCAACTGCCATAGCCGCTGGCGTTTGTTGAGTTTGGCGTTGCCCTGCGCTTTTTTGCATCCCTCAGCTTTCTGCGAGGCCTCCATCTTCTCTTTGTAATGCGCATGGTCCAGAATGAAGGGGAAGTCTTCTTCTTTGCGCTTCCTCAGTATGTGGGCTGCGCGTGCACCGTACGCCAGGGAAAGTGTGCGCACCACATTGTCCAACTCTTTGACACGCCTCTTGTGCGCTGGGCTGTAAGCAGCCGCCGCTACTGCTCCACATACTTTGTCTGCCATGTCATTCGCTGCACGTCGCCACAACGTGCCCGGCCCCATCTTCGCCAGGAATTCCTCTTCAGTTTTGTGGGACGGGACCCAGGTTGCCTTGATACGTTTCCTGTCATTCCACACTTTGCTCCATTCCAGGTCATCCTCCGGCGGTTGTGTTTTTTGTAGCACTTGGACTGCCGGCTTGCAATCCATAGTGACATCAATCAGATCCTCCGTGTGCTCCATTAGTCGGAAAAGTGCACGGCGCTCCATGTCCACCACCGGCTGCCACGGGTAGACCAGCTCTGTAATCCGTCCGGCTTCCACCAGGACACCTTTTGTCCAGGACAGAGCCACCACTGCGAGGGCTGATGTTTGTACACGTGGGTCTATTCCTCCTGGACCTCCACTTGCGTCAGTGGCGAAGATCAAGCCTTCCGCTTCCACTTTTGCATCTGCTGCAAAGCATCCTTGGTAACGTAGACCTAAAAGGTGTTCCGGCGGCTTCGGGTGCCACACCGCCGGCTTTGGCAGGAGTGCCCTTGTCCACAGACACTCCCATGGGTATTTGTGACGCAAGTATTCCTGGAGCTTGGGTTCTTTGAACCCTTGTTCACGCCAGTAAGGACATTCCTTGAGGACATGCTCCAGAGTTGCTGGCATTTGGCACTTCTTGCACCATCCTGGCTTGGACTCCGTGATGACGCCCGCGTGCCACACTGACTTTATACCTTCCATAAGGCCTGGGCTGAGGCCTCCCAGCTTCGTCAGCTTGTGATGCGGCGTCCAATCCAGCCCCTCTTGGGCACCAGCGCCACCTGCCTGTCGCGCTATCGCAGCCCGCTTCTGTTCCTCCAGGAATCCCTCAAGCCATTTGTAGGCGAGGCTACCCATGCGTGGCTGGGTCCAATCAACGTTGAGGACACTTCCTCTCTTCCATTTGCCTGGGTCACTGGCATCCACCTTCAGATCCAGTAAGTACGCCATGGTTGCTGCCATCGGCCCCGTGACCAGTGGCCAGTGGTGTTTGGCCGCACTCAACCTCTTCCAAGTGGTTTTCCAGGCCAAGTCAAAGTGGGCTTTTCCGCCACCGATCCATGCACGGAAAACTTTGGCCACCACTTTGAAATGCTGCTTGTGGATTGTGCGCTTTGGATCCTGGCATTTCTTGGCTCCCATGTCCAAGATGGTTTCCAAACTCCCAAGCTTGTATTTACCCAGGTGTTTTCCTACCACTGTTCGGAGCCATTTCATTCTTTTGGGTGAGACCCCCACAGAGGGGTGCCCCCACAAAGCAACTGATGTGATCGCTGCCTTGACCACGCGGAGTTTAGTGCTGGGCGGCGGCCCCAGCCTAGACAGTTTGCTATGTCTCGCATGGGCTTTCTTGGCCCGCGTTGCCGACGTCACCAAGCGACGCTTTCGCCCCCCTGTACTGTCGACGCCCAGGTCACGCATCACGTCGTACACCTGTGGCTCATGAGGCAGCAGGAGTTCACGCAGGTGCTTGCTCGCCTGGGTACTGCTGGCCACAAACCCTGTCTTCTTGGATGAAATCGTGAAACCATTAGCATCCATCCCGTCCTTTAAGCAGCGGTAGACTCGTATGGCACTATCCGCCACGTGTTTAAAGGACTTATGCTGGATGTCAATTGAGACATCATCCAACCAACAGTCCACGTTTGCCACATCTCGTCGCCTTTGGATCTTTTCTATCACCGGGCGCAATGCCACCTTTGCTAACGATGGCGCCGCTGGGCAACCCGCTTGCACGCCATTTGTAGCTCTGATGCCTGCCGATAGCACCCCATCCGCCACCAAGTATCTGGCACCCATGTACACTTCCAGTGCCATCTTCAGGATTAGCGGTGGATATTGCAGGGCCGTTGCTGCCATGATCAATTGCTGAAATTGGATGGTATCGAAAAAGGACTCGAGGTCCACAAAGAGTGACACCACATGCACTCCATTTGTCTTTGCCACCTCATTTCGCAGTAGTCTGCCTACGGCCACGTCCAAGCAGCAACTGCCTGGGACTGCCTTGTCGTACGTGGCAGTTGTGGCATAGCCTGCCTGCCAAGTACTTACCAAATCCCATCGCAGACGGACCCAAGTCCTGTACAGGATGTGTAGCAAGGCGATTGGTCTTCCCCGGGTCAGATTCTTCGGCAGCATTGCTATAAGGGAGACTGTCATTTGCTGCGGCCATGCTGCCTTGGCCTCACATTCATGGTAGAAGGACACAACGGCTTCAACTGCTTTATCGTCCATGGCCTGCAAATGGTCAATCCTCCAGCCATCCGGCCCCGGGCTCTTTAGTGCCAGTTTTTTGATCCTTGCCTTGACCTCGACAGGGTTCAGCGGCTCCACGCTGGCCGCTTGTTTTTTGGCTGCATCCTCAAGCTCCGTCATGAGCGAGGCCGATTTTGCCAACGGCTGGCCCGTCGTCCACACTGCCGCCCAGTGGTCTCGGCGAATGTGTGGCCGTTCCAGCATGTCATATTCCATGTAGGGTCTGTGTACCACTTGTTCTTCTTTTCGCAAGGCATTGTATAATGGTCGCATGCCCTTTTCCATGGCCTTACTGAGCCATTGCTTGTACTGGTGGGCTGTCTCCTCCATATCCGCCTTTCTCGCGTAGCATTGCTGTTCGTCGATGCGCTTCAGAACAAGCCTAGCGTCCGTACCCCGGCCCAGGATACTCGCAAGCATATCCTCCTGGTTCTGCGCATCACCCTCGTAATACTCGCCGAGCCTGCGTTGGACCAGACGCGCCACCGGATGTGCATCGCCATGATGTCTGCCTTGTTTGACCCATTGTTGGACCCGGTTCCAAAAGGCCGCCCTCTTGCCCGTCCAGACAACGTTCTCCGGGTTGTTGACCACCAATTTCTTCCGCACAATCTCCGATTTAACACCCATACCGTCGATTCGGCCTGTGATCGACCTCTCCACACCGGCACTCAGGTGAGCAAATGTCTCACTGAGCTCATCTACCATCTTGGGTTCATCCAAGATGTTGATGCTCTGTGTGTTTTGAACTGGTTCGTATTCCACAGTCTCCGTCACCAGTGCTCCCGCCTTCTTCATCTGGGGAACATCAGGGCTACTGCACGGTTGGGCCACCCTCCAATGCATTGCAGCATGAGGCCGAAAAGGGGTTTCCCAATCCGTTTTCACTTGCAGGATGGGCACCAAGCATTTCGCAACCAGCCCGTAATCGATTTCGTCCGATCCTTGGGCCGTTGGTTCCCCCACTCCAACAAATGCACCACCAACTTCTGTCGCCAGAGTTGTGCCCCTCATGGTATCCTGGGCTTCATTCCAATCACCCAGCACCATATATGGCACTTTGCAGCCCTTGAGAAAGGCTATCAGTCTCGCCAGTACTTGGATATTGTTTGGAGCCTGGAATCCGACCCCGCTCTCCAAATACAGACTGACGATGATCAAATCCCAGCCTTTATTTCTCATGGCACATGCCAGGAAGCCCGCCGGTCCTGTCCCATACTCAGTAAGGTATCGCAGGTTCCTATGTCGGGGTGCCACCACTGCCAGGCCTCCTTGTACACCCTTAGTTTTTGTACTGCCTGGCATGCCAATGAAGGTGTATCCCATATCTTGGCAATGGCTCATGGCTTGCTGGATACCCTCCGTCTTGAGATGGGTTTCCTGCAGCACCACCAGGTCCGGTCCTAGTTCGTGTATCCATGCCGCTATGGGTTTCCTCCAGCTGGTGATGTTAGCCGAGGTGATTTTGATGCATTCGGCCTTATCATCTTGGCGATACCCACTTGCCACATCTGCCAAGATCCATTTGGCATATTGTGCGTCCTGCTCCACAAAGGAACGAAGCACTTCGTGGCATGCTCGTTGTTGTAGCGGGTTGAGTTCCTGCTCTTCCAGTTTCTCAATGGCTTCGAGTGCGGCAGCCTCACTGGAAGCATCATATCTACCCACCACTTGACACAACATTTGCCACTCCTGTGGTAGATCCTTAGGTGGTGCTCTTGGGTGCGCTTTCCGTTTCTTGGGCTTTTGCTTCCTTTGGTGACCCTCAGCACTTTGCGAGGCCGACAACCTTGCTTCCTCAGCTTTCTGCGAGGCCTTTAGGCTATCCCCTCTTACCGCAGTTGGGTCTCCCATCTGTGTTTGGCTTCCCTCTGCTTTTTGCGAGGCCGAATTCACACATTCATCCTCATGGTCCGCACCTCCCAGACCGAAGTATCTGGGCCCTGTGACCGCCCAACTGCTATCCACAGCACGGGCTGACTTTGGACCCCGCGTTACTGGACTCCAGCTCTCTTGGCTGTCTTCCACTGTGCTGTTTGTATTAGGCACTTGGGTACTACACACAGCTTGACTGCCTTCCCCATGTACCTGTGGCCATACAATGTCCCCGTGCAAAACTCGATCAGCAAAGTTGAATATTCAGTCTCGAGTTCGCATAGCCGACAGAAAGCTTCATATTCGAGGTTGTCCGGCCCGAGTATCGAATCTAGCACTCCAGACAGCAACAAGCAAGACCTGACTGCCGGGACCTCTCGGAAATCGATGTTGGTGACATCTTCTAGTCCGAGGGTTGCTGTATGCTTTGCTGTTTGGAGGCGATTTAAATTCTTTGTGAGAAGATCGCTCACATTCTCGGTTCCGGCTACTCCCTCTACTGCCAACTCGCCGCTATGGACACGGTCTTGGATAAAGCACAACCTCAAGTCTATATGCCGCATGCGCCTGAGTAGCCCCTCCATGCTGGCGATTTGCCTAGCTGAAGCACTGTCGCTATACACGCGGTGGGGTTTCTGGAGGGTGCCCCAGATATGCGCCGTCAATTGCGCAAGTCCTGCCACCTCTTTTGCTGCCTCGGCGATGGCAAACAACTCTGCCTCTGCTGAGCTGAGTGCCACGACGCTCTGCAGGCGGCTGTACCCCTTTATGCAGTACCACAGACCGTCCACTGCGATGTAGATCACTCCGCCACTGGTGCTCTTCCGGGCTACGCTCATCTCGCTGCCCCAATTGCTGTCGCAATAGGCTACCAGGCTGGCATTCTCCCCCTCATTGGTCTTGCCATCTCCGAGCGGGAAGATTTGATCTAACAGCGGAAACGCTGCTAACCATCGCAGGAACTTGCGAAGTGCATCTTCATGCACTTGCCGTGGCATGCTTTGTCCGCGTGACAACATGGAGTGAAAATACGTTATATCTGAGCGAGTTTGACAGAGCCATCCTATCTTCCCTAGGCAACTTCGGAATCGTGAGGCGGCCTCACTCGACAGCTCCTTCGAAGGCTCTTCAACACTCTCCTCATCGTACATACTCCTGATGTCGGGTGTCGTCAAGGATGCTTTCGCGGTGGATATGTCCCATCCGAAAGATGTAAAGACCGACTTCACATACTCAGGCTTCACCCCAAGCATGATTTGTCGTCCATCCCAACGGATTAAACGGCCGAGGAATTCCATCTGCCCATCTTCGATCAGCCTCCCTGTCACTTTGACTTTCAAGACTGAACTCAGGGCTTCGTGGACGTACTCGAACCCTTTCTCGGTAGAGGACACAATGAGCAAATCATCCACGTACGCTAACATGATGATATACTCCCATCCGGATTCAAGGTTGACCCATCCGCTGAAAAGCGTCGGTTCAAGCGGACTCGCTTGTAAGCCTAGTGCAGATACGATCCTGTTCAGGTGTCGCTGCCAGCTAAGGCTGGCGGAACGCAAACCGTAGAGCGCTTTCTCTAGTATCAAGTACGCGGTTTCGCCGCTCTCGAGCGCGAATGTACTTGGCAACTCGATAATGGTGGGTTCCACTACCTGCGCAAAGAGAAACGCGGTGGAGATGTCGAGGCCGTAAGCCCGCATCTTTCCCTTCGCCGCCCGTGCAAGGACGATCTTGAGGGCTTCCACCGACGCAGTATTAGAACTCAACCCCAAATCGAGTGCGGATGGTCGGCCATGAGCAAAATCCTTAGCGACTATCCTTGCTCGGACTAGTCCTGGGGCCTTCTGAGTGAGGACCCATCGGGACTTGACCGTCCGACAGTTTGGGTTGGCTTTGCGGTACTCATCTATCTCGCTCTTTGATCTTGCATAACCAACTTTCAGACTATCGAGCGCATTCACCTCTTTCTTGATTCCTTGCCATGTCTCTTCAGGATCCAGCTGAAAACCTTCCAGGTCATCGTAGCTGGCTCTAGGTCGATTCACCCAGAGAGTCCTGTCTTGGATTCTCATGTACGTCCCTGCGGACTCATCTTCCTTTTTCTCTTTAACTGAAGAGCATACACAAGGGTGGTCTTGGAGATTCAACAACTCAACTGCTTCACGCTCGACCGACTGTTGTTGCTTGTGGTGCTGTTGTTGTGTTGTTGTGTTCAAGCAAACATATGGGAACTTCTCCACGCTCGACCGACCAACCAGTAGGTGACATGCTGCTTCGACGTCGTAGTGGTCACAACAAGAGAGTGGTTGTGGTGTGTAGTGGGCGTTCTCGAGCAATTCCTCCAGGTATCGGACTGGGACCCCCTCATGGAATGTCTGGGGATGCTCTGGAGCGTCTCCCATCTCTGGAGCTTCTCCCATATCGTCATCCTCAGCCTCGGACGGCTGGTACTCGGACACATTCCAGTCAGCATCCGGCACTGACATCTCCGGGATCTCTAGGTCTCCGACTCCTGCTTGCTCAGGATCAAACGCTCGGACCTCCTCTCCTCCAAAGCGTGTTCGCTTGTTCGGCTTCATTTGCTCGTCATCATCGTATGGGTCTTCTCCAATTAGCTCCTCAGGTCTTCGGTCGACCTTCGGTCCTTCATCTAATGCCTCCAGAGCATCATCGATGGAATCACGCAACCATTTTTGGTATCTCTTCACACACTTTTGGGAATGCCTGCTCGAGCTGACGCCTTCCTGGCATCCGGGGCACTTGGGTGTAACACCATGTTGTCTCACCCAGTCTATGGGAGGACCTCCACCTGGAACATATGGGAGAAACAGCTCTTTGGTCTTCGGTGCTTCAGGCGGGGGCACGAAGCCATCTAGGGCCTTTGCACCGGGCAGAAGATTTGCGTCGAAACGCAACGGGTAGAGCAATTTGAGTCCGGGCGCGATCACCCGTTTCGTCTCCCCACTATCCAAGCGGATTTCCATGGCATGACCTGTGCTCCCAAGCACTGGTCCCAAGTAGATCCCTCGAGCATACTTGGCATCCGCGTCAGGTCTTCTAGCCCGCGTTATCTTAGCGTATGCTACCGCACCGAACGGATACGTGACTTGCGGTCGCACTCGATCTCCGCGGATCTTCTGCATGGGTGTCATGGTCGACCCTACAGAAACTGAAAACCTGTTGTGCGTGTGTGCTGCGTATTGAAACAAAAGGTCGAAAACATCCGCACACTCACCATCCAAAACAACGCCATGTTCACGCAACTCAAGCTCATGTGTTGCTACGATTCCTTTCAGGGTCCTAATGGCTCGTTCTGCTGCTGGTGCATGCCTTTCGGGTGCAAAGCTGTCCTCAGTACCCTCACAAAGATCAGCGAGCCTCGCTGCGATGTTCTTCGTGAGTCCCTCTGCATCAGACATGAAATGCGGTTGTTTCACACCAAAGTGCCTGACCCAGGGATGCAAATGCTCTGCTGTTGTTGCTGCGCTCTCTCCCTCAGGTCTAAAGCAAACTGCAATCGCAAAGCTCATGGTATGAACCAGTACGATGAATGCAAGCTTGCGAAAGAAGCACTGGTCAAGCTGAAACTCTCTCGGGTTCAGGTCGCTACGCTTTCGGGCTGGAGTGGTCCCTCTAGTGCGCTGGCAAAACTCACAGTCAGACATGTATGGTACGTGTCCCTGCATGTGGTGCTGAAGCTCTGCCTGTTTACTACGCACATTGTCCCCAATAATTCCTTCTTCAGTGACTAACTCAAACTGCTGTTGTGGCTGTCGCGTATCGGGCTCTTTTCTCTCGTCTTGGGACAAAGCTGCAAGGATTGGGTTGGGCTTCTCCGTACTCCCTTTCAGGGAGACGGGGAGCGAGAACGATCGGCGCGCCACTCCACGGAATTGGGGTTTCGGGCGTGCGTTCGGGCCGCGGAACTGGAGGTGGCGGAGGTATCGGGAGCGCCAGCCTTGGCGCGACCGACCTCGCAGCCTGTATGTCCTGCGACCTTGCTCGGCGCCGGTCCTCGTATTGTTGGCCCGTGAGGACCCCCGCCTCGAGCTGAGCGCGAAGGCTCATTGGGTTGAATGGCCTTCCTGCCAGTGCCAATGTCCCCGCTGCTCCTGTTTCCATCGTTTCTGCCATCCTCATCACCGTGCTGGAGAGGTCGCTGGCGGCTTTCGGGGGTGTCAAGCTGACCGGCAGTTGGGCATGGTCCTTCACCTGCATCCGCAGGAAGCTCTCCCTCAAAGGTCCGAGGGCTTGTAGCCCTTCTGAGGTGTGGCCTGGTGTGCTCAGATGCAGCTGCAGATACGGACCACGAAAGCCCAGGTTGGAAAGTGATTCCCGCCAGGGAGGTGTCACTCGGAGAGCGCTCTTTGCATGCCTGGGCTCGGGGCCCCGGCGGTGCTCCGTGTACACTGCTGTCGGGCTGACCGGTTCCCCCGGCGGCTGCGTCATGGAGATAGGGGGATGCTCCGGATGTGCTGGGGTCGTTGGAGCTGGAACCCCTGTGGTTGGCCTCCATTCTCCCCAATCCTCGTCGGACTCGTCTATCTCCACCACCATTGTCGATGGTCCTGGCCCTGGGCTCGCCGGTGCTGCCGCGGTCGTTTCCTTCGGGTTCGGCTGAGGAAACTCGCTCGGTCCCAGCGTAACCACTGAGCGAGCCTTGCCCTCTGTCACTCCAAGTTCCAGCTGCTCTGGTTCGGCAAGAGCTTGCTCCCATGTGCCCCAATCCACCGGGTTCTGTGTCACGTGGAGGCCCTCCTTGGAGATGGTCTGCGTGAAGCCCTGCATGTTGGCTTCGTGTGGCTCGC